GTGCATGCATGGGAGCACGAGCAGGTGCATGAGCTGCGGTTTGGTCCCTCTAACCGAAAGAGGCGCCACAGTTGGGACACCTTCTCTGACGCAGTGCGAAGCAGAAGAGGAGACCCAGGGGGAAGAAGAAGATGGCACACAGGATCCCCAGGCAAGTGAAGTCATCCTCCAGGACACCAACTCTGCCACACACACACACAGTTTTTTTTTTTTTTTTAATCGATGTCCGTCTAAAATGTCATCACTCCATCCTTTTATCCGGTTAGACATTAGTGTGAAATTGTCAAAATTAGCATATCAATTCTTGAGTTATGGCCAAAAATGTGATTTGTGCGTTCCTGAAATATCGCGTTGGGACGTCCGTACGTCCGATAGACAGACGGACAAATTAAGACATAAAAAAAGTCATAAAAAAAAAAAGCCATGTTATAGTTTGTCATAAAAATATTATACAGCATGCCATAAAAAGTCATGGTGTAGTGCATCATAAAATTCATTAAAAGTATAGTGTGCCACAAAAATGTCATGATGTGGCGGCAGATTCATCCAAACTATTATATGGATATGGATTACTGAACGGCGTACTGGGTCACAACCTCTTGTTGAAGAGACACAGAAAAAGAGACACAAGACAACAAAAACCCTGACTGTCTTGCTCTTCTGTAGGAGGGACGGAGTACCTTTTACATTTCTTTTTTTACCATTTATCACACAGAATAAACAATGGAACTGATAATAATGTAGTTTATTATTAATAGGTCACAGATGGTCTGAGAAGTATCACGCTGTGATCACAGTTTACTGAATGCTTCTCTGAAATCTCTCCATTCTGAACCATGTCCTGACATGCCACTGTAAACAGGCATCAAGAAGACACCTCTCTGTACGAGTCTGACCTGAAAGAACTCAAAGTTAAATCTGCCAATTATTTACTTCTCTTGCTTAAACTCATCCGAGGCTAAAGTCTGCTAAGCTTTTGACTTACGGTCAAAAGATCTTCAGAGAAAATAAAGTACAACCTAGAAAGGATGTGCGTCTCCTGTGACATAAAAAAACAATAACAACAAATAGTTATCAGAACATGAAGCAACTTGTTTTGTTCTCTCAGACTCACGGTGAACAAAGTGCCAACCACGGTCTCATGACTGCTCCACACCAATCAGCGCAACCAGTAAATCTGCTGGAGGGCCCGAGAAGGAATTAACAAATGCAATGTTTCAAACTCAACCCTAAAGAGAAGGGAGATTAGAAGCTGCTTCTGGAAAGCACCTGAAGCTAATGCTGTGAAAGACCTTTCACATAAATGTGGATTTCTGACTTTTAATCTTGATAAATAGTCCTTAATTACACTGATAATATCAGATTCTGCTGCAGGGATTTAACCTTATTAAGATTAGAATAGCTCCTAAAAACAGGACGTGTTTGACCTACCGTGGCACCACACCACGCTCTGTGCTGCGGTGCCATGTAGCAAGTGTTTACACAATGTATTTGTACACTGGTGCCAGAGAACTGTGGCATATTAAACCACGTGAACTTTCAGTTCATGTAAAACTGAACAGAAGTATTCCTTCACCTCGTGACAACAATAAACTATCCTGCTACGAAAACCTGCCCAACCTGCTCCCTTCAGTCCCCGGAGTAGATAAACGTTGTATTTCATTATTCACATACAACAAGTGGCTGGGACGATATCTTATTGTCTTTTTTTTTTTCATTTTCTGTGAACCGTGTCCTGTAACCCCCTTGGCCTGGATCTGACCCGTCACATGTTTGAGGCTGAAATCATCTGACTGACAGGATGTTGACTCAGGCCCAGTGAAACCAATGTAAAAATAACATCTTCCACAACTGAAAGTCACATCCGCTTAACACCGAGGTCACACTGTAGACAACATACACACGGCGGCATTGAAAATAAGACGGGCCAAAGGAAGACGCACGGACAGAAACCGGCTTAGTCACGGTGAACATGGGACGCTCGTCTTTAACCACGAGCCGATATACACATCTATGTGCATGTGTGTGTGTGTGTGTGTGTTTTCTCACCTGCAGGCGGGGCAGCCCCCGACCACCACGACAGACGGTTGTACGATGGTGTAAGTGCCAGGGTAGGGCTGCTGGGCTATGGCAGGGTTCATTTGGGCTGATGCGTACCCTGTGGATGAGAGAAGGGAAGACATATTTGGGTCTACGTTCACTGTAAATAACAACAACAAAAATTAACAATTAACCACATCATCATGTTTGGCTTTGTGTTGCTTTGTGTTTGTAGGACATTTGGGGATTCACAAGTTCATTCCACTGACCCTCGGGGCATATTGATTTTGTTTTGTTTACCACCTGTGTCCATCTGCAGTTGTATTTGCGTTAACCAGTAAACTTTGATACCATAACCATGCTCGTTTACAACACATGTGTCTGATAAGGACGCCTCCCTGTGTGAGAGACATAAAACTCTTACTGGAACACAGATTACCTGTACAAATGCCTGCACTCTTCTACAATAATTGCAACAACAGACTACAAGAACATTTAGCAAACAGGAAGTTACAAGCAATTTACTTTTTTTTTGTATGACAGAGTAACTTCCTTGTCACTGCAGCTCTGATGCAAACACGAACCAGTGTCGACATTGTAAATAATCCGACAATAAAGTTGTTATTTTTGGTTAATTTACCTCTTATTTAAGCCTGTACTACCTTAATAAAAGGCGCATATTTCCTTTAGCAAAAACTAGTCAGTATAAAAACCAGACATCGCTATTGCCCTACTGCGCATGCGTAGCATTGGAGCGCCTGATCAACGAAACTTTTCTCTTCCACGGTATTTGTTACTTAAGTCACACTTATTGGTGTAAATTGTGGCCCCCTTGAGACAAAAACAGTGTGGCTGCCAGACTCCCGAGTCACAATAAAAGCGACATTTGAGCTTCACGTGAAACGAAGACGGAAGTGAGCAGCAGTGAGCCCTCTCTTCCTCGTCTGGCGGCTTCACGTTCCGGCCGGGTAAATGTGGAACATGTACGTGTGCGACGCAATACGGGGGCTACTTGCCTTGTCCGGCGGGGTACGGGTAGGGCGGCGGGGGGGCCGGAGACGGGATGGCCCCATAGCCGGGCTGCGGCTGCGGGCCGTACTCATAAGCCCCCGGGACGCTGGCGTAGGAGGGGGGTCTCTCCTGAAGAAGAGGCTTGTTGTCCACCATCTCAAACCGACGTGATGCGTCCTCAAGTTGTCTCGTTGTCTGGCCCCCTTAACTTTTTTTTTTTTTTAATTCTTCAGCGACGCGAAAACGAACCTTCCGTTTACTTGACTTTGGTTGTCCGAAAAGCCGTGTGACGTTGGTATGACACGCAGTGGCGAGAAAAACAAAAGGGAAAAGACGCTGCGCAAAAAGAATGAAACTTCGTCCCTCTCCATGCGCCAACTTTGTCCTCTTTGGCGCAACAACCCTAAGTATTTCCCCTTCAAAGACAAGGAACGGTCTTGCTCTCTCCGGTAATAGTTAACTTAACTCCATCGCCCTCCTTGTAGTTAGTCCTTTGGCACCAATACGACAGTTAATCTGTCATCACAGGGTCTTCTAACTCGGCTGGAACTCCGCGAGGCTTTTCCTTTCTGTCTGGATTGTCACAAGAGAAGAATCATGTGATGAGCTGCGCCTCTGCGCACCGAGAGGCTTCTTAAAGCGACAGTGCACGGAAATAAAAGGCTCAGCGCTGCATGCAGTGAACCGCAGAGCACCGTGACCTCCCGGTGCCGAATGGCAGGCCCAATGGTTCACACAATGAAGTCAGCGGAGTGCAATTTGTCACAGATCGAGTACTCCCCATGTGTGGAGGGGACACGTGTTCACACTGGGACTTACATAACTATATCCTTATTAGGAGTGGGTTACCCTTAATGTTGCATAATATTTGATTCACATCATCATATTTAGTCAGTCATATAAATAGATATGAGGTGATGGCTGATGACTGTTGCCTCTGTCCAAGGTGCTGAACCTGGGACCCCCCCCCCCCCCCCCCCAAGGATGAGGGAGCTGGCCGGGGGACTCGTTTAGATGTTTATTTATTTGCACAAATTTGCTTTTCAAATACTCTATTTATCTTAAGAAGTATTTCATCAACACATAAAGGAGAACTCCGTCTTCCAGTTTATCAGAAAAATTCCAAATAAATGTCACCAAATTTGGAAATACTTTATTACTTAACCGGACAGGAAAGGTTTCATAAAATGTAAATACTTAAGTACATTAAAAGTTCCTACAACCCTACCTGGGGGTCTGTAGTGTACACAGTACGTGAGTAAATGTACTTCCACTGATGTCAAACATCAGTGTTAATTAGTTTGTATTTTCCTTTCATCCAGGTCGAGCTGTTGGTTTGTGATGGAATATTCCAAACTGTAGCCAAACACGTAAAACCAACCTCGCGCCTCAGTAATTCATTAGACGCTGAATAAATTATTGAAATATACGCGTCAATCAGCGGGTGTCGGAAAAAAGAAAAAAAAGAAAAGAAAGAATACCAGGAGCTCATCTTGTTCCACCAATAGGAGGAAGAGATCCCACACTCCCTGCAGAGCTTCAGCCAATCAGAGCGACACTTCCTCCATTTCCTGTTGTGGTCTCGGGAGTTAGTCGGGAGCATTCCTCCGGTCCCGGAATGTAAATTAAATACCGCAGCCGGAATATGCATGAATGACTCTACTCGTCGTCTCCAAAAGGTGTTGCTCGCGACAGAGCCTCGTCTGTAAGTGATGGTGTACGTGTTGTGAAAGCCTCTGAGGGGGTTTTGTGACTGCAGCCCTGAGACCTGGAGATGTAAACAGCTTATAGCCGACTTTGCGGCATTCGACTCCATGTCAGCTGTCTGTGTTTGCACGCTGCATCGCATGCTTTAATAACTTCCTCTGCTGGGAACTAACTTGAGTTGTTTTTTGTTTTTTTTTAAATGTGTCCATAGCACGGAGCCTCGGAGATGGCAGGTATCGGCTGTTGCACCTGATGTCACGTTGCGTGTGTTGATACTCCCTTGACAACCGCGGATCGGACACCTATATCCAGGTGACGTTAGGGTGCTCTGTGTGCGCGCGCGCGCGTGTGTATGTGTGTGTATTTGTGTGTAAAGATACACTGCAGGCTTTAAGGTAGGTTAAATTCATTACAGGAAATTGCAGTCTAATGAAACATAAAACGATGTAAGGTGATAGGCTACGTTTACTCTTTTTGGTTCCGTCTTTTTTAATTAGAGAATAAAGTTCAAGCGGCTGGTTGAGATCACATGACCTAATATTACATTTCATGTAAATAAACCGCATAAAGGCCTGTTTGATTGTATAGTGGCAGTCGAGGCATCATAGTGACTGTCAATACTGTAGGATTAGTATCAATCGAGTGTCAAGCTAAATGGCTGGAATAAACGCCAAACTTCCGGTCAGAAATTTCAAGTTAAAAGCCCATTGCCACGCTTTAGTGGTTACTAAAAAACAAATAATCTAAAATGAATCCCACAAAAGAATTAAAAAAAAAATAGAAGATTGGGAATATTTTGTGATCAAAGTTAAAATGTTAGACTAAAGTCAGAATTCAAGACAATAGTCCAAACTTTGAGAGTAAAGTTGGAATATAATAATAGACAATAACCACATAATTCTGATGATATGACACATCTCATTACATAAACATGTAGCTCATGCACACTACTAGACTGGGGAAACAACAGTCCTTATTCAAGGATAAATGTAAATGTAAATGTAGCCTCTACTCAAGGTTGTGTCTCTTCAGGATATCAATGACGCTCAAGTGCACAAGAGTCATACAATATATACCAGACCGCTTGGAAAGAGGAGTGCTGTCTTGCTGTCTCCGTTCAGGGGCCACCATGCCCATCACGCTGCTGTGGGCCGTGGATGTGTACGGCAGGGTGTCCAGCCTTTCCACAGCTGGCCAGCGCTGGGAGCGTGCAGATGACAAGCTGCTGGAGCTGAAGCGTGTCACTGCGGGGAAGGGCCGCTGCTGGGGCATCGGCTGCGACCACCACGTTTACCTCAACATGATGCCCAGCGAGACCTCCATCCGCTACCGGGAGGAGACTTATGAAAACCAGGTACGTTGATGCACATACAAAGCAGACGCTGTAATGTGGTTAATGCTCAAGCGCTGTTGCTCCGTGCGTGTTTTTCAGAGGTGGAACCCGGTGGACAGCTTCACTGACACACTGCTGCCCACCGACCGCTGGCCGTGGAGCGACGTGACCGGGATGAATCCTCTACCGCTCCACAGCTTTGAGCTGCCCTCCCGCAGCTGGGAGTGGGAGGGAGACTGGTATGTGGATCAGAGTTGTGGAGAACCCAACCAGACTGGGGTAAGAAACAACACAGTGCCCTTTTTAATGGATGTCTATGGATCTTTCTTGCTTTCTGTCTTTCTAATTTTGATGCATGCGATATAAAGTGTGTTACCACACTTGACCTACACCTCTAGTGAGGCTCTGTTTGTGTGTCTCTTCAGGGCTGGGAGTATGCGGTCGACTTCCCCGCTAACTTCTCCCCGGACAAGAAGTGGAACTCTTGTGTCCGTCGCAGGCGGTGGATCCGCTACAGGAGATACACAGCACAAGGCACCTGGGCAAAGGTGTGGACACTCTCTGGTTATTAGAAATATCAGTTTGGAAAAGTTCAGCACAGGTTTCCGACTGAAGACTCAAAACAAAGCCACTGTCTTTCTGCAGATCCCCCTGGACTATCCAAGGAAGCCGCCGCTGCCGCTCTGTGACATAAGCTGCGGTGGTTGGGAGATGAGTGACCAGTCTGGAAGGTATCCCAACCTCTGGGGCGTGTCCCAACAAGGAGAGGTCAGTCTACTGGACCAACAGTCTTGTGACAAATGTGCATGTAGAGTACACCTAGCTAAAGGGAAGGATTACATGCTCCCCTCACTATGGTTTTGAGAATTTGCAACCCTGGGATTTATCAGCAAACACTAAAAGTTCCTGAAAAGTTGATGCAGCACCGAAGATGCCCTGCTGTTCACAGTAGTGGGCATTTCCCCCCTAGACAACCTCTACACTGCTGTTGAACACTCCACTCATACAGGCTAACATGAGATACAATGCTTCAAATTTAGATGTCAGTCAGATTTTGAAGCGACAAGCTGCTTTTTAGTGTTGTTCACTTATCATTTCTGGCCACAAGAGGGCAGCATGACTTCATATTTACATAGTCAAACTTACTTATGTACTCTGGAGATAATTAAATCCTGTATATAGTATAAAAGTATGCATCAGATATGGTTTGATGCTCTATTATTCTATACGGATACACCCTTGTGGATCATGCTATACCATGCACCATATCTTTACCCTGCAGGTGTGGTTCAGGGAGGGTATCCACCCTCGGGTCCCAGAGGGCTCCGGATGGGAGGAAATAGAAGTGCCCAAGGAGGTGGCTCAGCTATCGGCTGGCCCCGGGGACCTCCTGTGGGCATTACTGTGGGATGGGAACCTGCTGGTCCGTACTGGCCTCAGCCTGGACAGCCCGACTGGTCAGTATTCACTGTAATTCACATTTACATGTACCCACAGGATACGCCCTTTGTTTCTCTTCATCTAGATTGCTTTTTGACTTTATGATACAAATTCTCTGGATAAGAGAGTTTTCTTAGTTACAGCATCATAGTATATGAGGTACCTTTCTATTTTTATACTGTACATATAAAAAGTAGTTTGGAAAATGGACGCAAAACCTTTAAGAATAGATGGAAATTGACTTTAATCCAAGGTGCAAGTCTCACCGGATAGACCACCTGTGGTGTTGTCATGTGGGAATGGCGACAGCTTGCCTTCATGCTGTGTCAGTAAACATGCGGCATTTTTTCTTCCATCAGGCACATCGTGGGTAGAGCTGGAATCACCAGGAAAGGAGATTGAAGCGCTTCATGTGGCCGTTGGAGTCAGTGTGGTCTGGGTGGTCACTAAAGACTACAAGGTGAATCTATATTCCTCACGCTCCGACTACATAGCTGCTGTTCATTGTGACGGTAACATATCTGTTTGTTTTGTGTGCGTGTGGTTCCAGGTGTGGTTCAGGCGTGGCGTGAACTCCCACAACCCCTGTGGCTCCGGCTGGATCAGCATCGGAGGGGAGATGATGGTGGTGGATGTAGGACTCAACGAACAGGTGAGAAGATTTCTCTTGATCATTTCATCGTCGCACCTTTTGGATTAGAGCCTAAAGCCTGATCACAATGCATTGAATTTCCTCTTTAAGGTATGATTTAACAAATATGTAGGTTCAACAATGTAGGATGTTTATTTTAGGAAGAAATCATTTTTGAAAACAACATTTAAATGTATTTGACACCAGAAACAACACTTTTTTTTGACCATGACATTTTATGATCAATAATTAGATTTATAGTGATCGTTCCAGCCTTTTTGATTCCTGACAACCTGACTGTAGCGTGTTTCCTCTGCACTCGAGCTGCTTCCCCTCTGACCGATTCACTTTACCCTCGGCTTTTGGATCTGGTTTCAGGACGAGCCAGATCAGGGTTGGGGTCAGGGTCAGAGAGGCTTTCTCTCTGTATCTCACTGCTGAGGACTTTGCTAGCACTGCAAACCCACACCTCACACCTCCTCCCCTTCTGTCTCTCACCCCTGTTCCCCCCCCCCAGCACCTCTACCTCTGGCCGCGAGTCCTGCCCCGCGTTTGCCCTGTAACACGAGTCCAGCCAGCAGTTCCCAGCCAATGTCCCAGCAGTAGCACCTCAGGCCCAGCCTTATATATATCCCCAGAATATATTCCTACTGGCCTGACATATGGGAGACTCCCTAATTAGAAGCTGGACAAGCCGTCGTCATCATATCCCATATTTCATATTTCAGGGTTGGATATGGATAATTATGGATATAGCTTGTGTGAGGTGGCAGGCGCCAGTGTTGCAGTATACTGCCTTATAAAGTAACAGTTGCCTGTGACCGACTGGTGCCACTGATACACCTTTGAAGAGTGAAGACAAGTGTTTTTCTATTTTATTTGACAGGATTCTGCCACATTTATCCTATTAGTTTTTGTTGTTTTTCCTCTTATGAATTTAATTAATGGTTCAGTAAAAAGCACGCCACAACAGGCGTGTGCGCCTGTGATTGTTGTGGTTCACCTTTGTTGTTCTACATTGTTTTCTTCTCTTTTCTTTCTGCCAGGTGTGGGCGGTAGGTGAGGACCGAGGCCTGTATTTCAGAATGGGTGTGACGTTGTCTGAACCAAGCGGGAGCGGCTGGATTCCTGTTTCTGCCCAATGGGGGAATAGTAAAGAGGTTATCCCACCCAGGTCTGTATGAATACAGGATCAAGTTTAATCCCTTTGAATCTTGTAATGAAACTGATCTGATTATATCCCTTATCTTCTCCTGCTCTGTCCATATGCGTTGTTTAATAGGAAGGAGAGTGAGATTGGTGACCAGCTGGCTGAGGCCTTAAAAAGCTCCCTTCTGAGCTGCACTGACTCCGACTCAGAGTTAGGTCCTCCTGATCCACAGAACGGCACTAAAGACTTCCCAGTCCTGGAGGCAGCAGCCCCCTCTGTTCTCCCTTTAGGGGGAGTGGACACACCTACACCTCCCCTGAAAACAGAGGACCCTCCCTCGGCCTTACAACAGGATGCCCCCAAACCATTTATCCCTGCAAGCGACAGCTTCATCAACAGCCTGGTGTCAGACCGGGACAAAACCTCCACTCCCCAACTCCCCATCACAGAGGTACCGCAGGAAGAAGTCGAGGAGCCGTCCCCAGCTCCGATACTCCCGACCCCGGAGACGGCGGGACACGACGTCCCCTGGATGAATGTGGATTTGGAGGGAGCCGAAGCAGCCCGATGTGCACAGGCCTCGTCGGGCGCCCTGGGGACTCTGGAGACCTCTCATGGTGTTGGAGTAGAGGACGCACCGGTGTGGACCTGGGTCTCTGGTGGAGGCTGCGATGTGGACGCAAGTTCACAGATCAGCTGGCTTAGTCCCACAGGTACATGGACAGCCAGCATGCAGTGATTTTCAGAATTTATGTTTATTTACAGACAATTAAATGAACAATCCCCCCCCCCCCCACCAAAAACGTGTTGAATAAATAAAAGAGATCTGCAGGTGAGATGATGGCTGATGAAAATTGCATGTGAATGGAGTGAGAGTACCCACAATAATGTAAACACCTCAATGGAACTTATGTCAGTTTATATCCGTTTATCTGTGTCTGACTGTTGTACTCTGTGTTGTGCGTTTGGGCATTTACATGTATAGAGATATACTGTGTGTGTCATCTCTATGGTTGTCCGTCTGTCTGTCTGTCTGTCTAAACGTCTGACTTGTCTGTCAGGTCCTCTCACCAGCTCCCTGTCTCTGACTCCAGTCCAGTCAGCAGCGTGGAGCGAACAGCAGCAGCAGCAGCAGCAGCAGAACAGAGAGGAGATCAGCAAGAAGCCGCTGGAGAGAAGCCACGTAAGACTGCTTGTGTTTGACACTTTTCTTAAACTCCTCCGTTCCGTCTTGGATTGATCACATCTCCTCTCCGTGTGGTCACATCCTCCCGTTTCCTTCGCCAGTCGGTGTGGGTGCGTAAAGGTGCGTTGCGCTGGTGGAGAGACTGGAAGCCTCAGCGCTGGGTGGATGTGAGTGTTGCTCTCGAGCAGTCCACCAAGTCTGACGGCGGGAAGGACAGCATTTTCTTTGTCTACTACACACAGTATGATGAGAAAAAGGTTGGTTACGGTCAGTCAAATTCTCACCTGTCTACTCACAGTTGTTCGCCCTCTTCATCCTCACTTTCTTCTCTCTTTTTTCGCACAGTACGTTCATGTGTTTGTACATGAAGTGACAGCGCTGGTTCCAGTGTTCATGGACTGCCACTATGCCTTTGCTGTGTACACCACCCAAAGGACCAAACAGAGGTGGCCCCTGGTTCTGGCAGCACAAACTGAAAAGGACATGAATGACTGGGTAACAGTTACACAGAACAATACATATTTTTAAGCACACAGAGGAACACTTACAGTGAAAACGTAGCTTAGCGCGTTGCATGTTCGGTAGAATGTTTCATCTTCTACTTTAGTGGTATTTTTACGTTTACTAGCTGAAGCCCATTGCTGATCACATTCCCTGTTCCTCTGTCCTATGGGTTTAGTTGTGCCTGTTGTCTGACTGTTGCTGTGAGTGTCGAGGGATCACAGGACCCCCGTCCAGACAGGCCCTGTGGTCCACGACCTCAAAGGGAGACATCATGGTCCACGAGCCGTCCTTCTCTCTGGAAGCTCCCGCACACACACTGGCCTGTGACCTCATGTGAGACTGATACCAAATAGTAGATTTTTCCAGTAGATCTAGTTTCCCCATCAGCTTTTTTTTGTGCTTACGTTATCTTAATTCTGCTACATGTCAGTTAACATATCACTAACATGCTAACACACTGCTCTGCATGGTGAAATCTCTTCCACACTGTGTGGGCAGCACCTTGTCTCTGTGTGCTAACAATAATGTGGCTAATGCTGGGTGCTTCCGCTGTATGGTGCTGCAGGTTCTGGCGGCAGGTCCCGGGTCACCTGCGCTGTGTAGAGTCTAACAGTCTGGGGCTGGTGTGGGGCGTCGGGTGGGACGGCACCGCCTGGGTCTACAGCGGGCACAATGGGCAACAGCCCACCCCGGGTAAACTTACCCATATGTTTCCCACAAAAATAATTCAGTAATCATCTACACCCGTGGACTTATTGATATTCATACACGGAACAAAAATATTAAGACTTTTGTTTTTTCTCCCATTCATCATGAGAAAAAAAAGATCTGAGACTTTTTATATGCAGTCAAAAGGCTTATTTATCTCAAATTGTGTCTACAAATTAGTTTGGATCCAGGATAGTGAGCGCTTGATCCGTCCACCAGACAGGTGTGGCACATTAAGAAGCTGATTAAACAGCATCATTATTACACAGGTGTGCCTTGGGCTGGTCACATTAAAAGCCCGCCTGTTTTATCTTGAAATGTGTTCAGCTTCAAGGAATCGACATTTTTCACAGCATTCATTTTGACGTTTCATAGCCGGGTTATTGATTACACCTGTGTTTACCCTGCAAACGATGTGTCACCGTTGGCTGCTGTGAGAAGGGCCTGTTGTGTGCAGATCCTTGCAACACTGGGCCGTGCATTATCATGCTGCAGCATGAGGTGATGGCGGCAGATGAACAGCAGCTCTGCTGGCGTTCCTGCAGTCAGCATGCGAATGGCACGCTCCCTCAAAACTGACATTTGTGGCATTGTGTTGTGTGATAAAAGTGCATTGTTTTAGAGTGGCACACCTGTGTAATAATGATGCTGTTTAATCAGCGTCTTAATGTCCCACACCTGTCAGGTGGATGCATTACTGTGGCAAAGCAAAAGTCTTCACTAACACCAATTCAAACACATTTGTTTACAAAAAAGGATTTTGTGTGCTTAGAAAAATAATTTTATTTCAACTCTTGAAAAATGGGAGAAAAAAGAAAAGTGTTCAGTGTATGTAGAAACCATTTATGGGTCCTAAGGGGCCCAGTAAAATTGATCTGTGATGATTTTTTATTTTGATTTTTAAACTGCTTAATTATGTATCAAGTAAACATGGAAAATATTTGCTGGAAAACTTCTCAAGCTTAGATTCACTTGAAATACAAGCCATGTTATTTTATATTTATATGCTAAATGCTCATTCCATAATCTATAATTGGTACAGAAATCTCTAATGAAGATCAGCTGCAGAGCTGTTTACTTTAAATGTCAAATTTATGTCTCTTACATAATTCATTATTCACTTGCTAACACACAGGAAATAATCAATCTTCTTGCTGACAGCTTGTAGTTTTGTGTGCAATTGCTTAATAAGCATCTCTTGCAGCTGTAGAGAAATGTTTGCACTGACATCTGTAACTAATTCAGAGCTGGCATTACATTTTTTGTGCATGCTTGTGTTTACGGCAGGAGATGCAGTTCAGATGCACCAGCAGACTGATGTGAGGAGTGTCCATGTGTATGAGAACCAAAGGTGGAACCCTATGACGGGATATACAGACAAGTAGGAACATTTCATCTATTACAAATGTCTTTATCTCAATCTTTGTAGCTGTTGACAGGGCTGTCTTTGTCTACTCTGAAAACATAAACTTTTTGGCGTTTTTTTTTGGCTCCAGAGGACTTCCTACTGACCGGCCTATGTGGAGCGATGAGAGCGGACTGAAGGAGTGCACCAAAGGAAACACACACCCGCCCTCCCCTCAGTGGTCCTGGGTAGGTGCGATCGGAAAACACATTTAATTTCTTGTTTCATCGCCGGCTAATTCTCATCCACCGACCTGTGTTTCAGGTGTCAGAGTGGGCTGTGGACTACAGCGTCCCTGGAGGGACAGACAAAGAAGGCTGGCAGTATGCTGCAGACTTCCCCACGTACGTTATTATTATTTCTCAGGATGTAAAAGAAAGATCAGCATTGTAATAAGAAAGAGCGGTGTTCCATTTGTCTGACTGATCTCCCTCCTACAGGACGTTTCATGGCCACAAAACCATGAAAGACTTTGTCAGGCGCAGAAGATGGACCAGGTAATCAAACACACACTCGCTGACATTTCTGTGGTTTGTAACTCACGGTTCCTTTGGCATTAAAATAATCCGATATTCTGCGTACAGGAAGTGTAAGATCACATTGAGAGGTCCGTGGCAGCAGGTCCCACCCATCCGTCTGACGGACATCTGTCTGATGCCATGCCTGGCCCAGAGCAGGATGGAGCAGGTCCCCGTCTGGGCCCTCAGCGACAAGGGAGACGTCCTGTGTCGTCTGGGTGTCAGCCCCCAAAATCCTGCAGTGAGATTTGCTGAAAAACAAATTCTGACTCTAGACATTTATTCATTTTTAGATCTTAAGAGAGATTTACAGTGAGTGCAGCAGGAAATATTTCTAGATTTACTAATTTATATTCCTAGATCTTAGATTCTTATGTCCTGATTACAATAACGTGGTAATTCCTTCAAAGTGTTTGCATTCATCTGTTCCCTGCAAACGTCTTCTCTCTAACTCCAGTCCGTCTGATCCCACAGGGCAGCTCCTGGCTGCACGTGGGCACAGACCAGCCCTTCAAGTCCATCTCTATCGGCGGAGCAAACCAGGTGTGGGCCATCGCAAAGGACGGAGCGGTGTTCTACAGAGGGTCCGTCTCCCCACAAAACCCCGCAGGTCTGTTGAAGATGTGAAACTCTTATAACGCATTACGCTTGCGTTACAACATATAATTTCCGTCCTGTTTGCAGCATTATTATTATTGTTTGAGTTCAAGGCAGTAAACTTTGCAGCGCTCTGGTCCCCCTACAGGAGAATGCTGGTACCACATCCCGTCTCCCCCCAGGCAGACTCTCAGACAGCTGTCTGTTGGGAGGACCTCTGTCTTTGCTGTGGATGAAAACAGTGAGTAGCAGTAAACCTTAATATTTTTTTACTTCATTAGAACATCCAGTTAACCCTTTTCCTTATCTTCATACAGGTAACTTGTGGATCAGACAGGGCCTCACCCCCAGCTACCCTCAGGGCTCAGCCTGGGAGCTCATCTCTAACAACGTCACCAAGGTTTCTGTGGGACCGCTAGACCAGGTCCGGCACTGGTTTAGTTTTATCAGTAGTTGGCAGGATATATATATATAGTGGGGTCAGAGTGTAAACTGTATATGTTGATAAACTAGTGTTTGGCTCAGTGCTGTTTGTTCTCTCCAGGTGTGGATCATAGCAGAGGGAGTTCCATGCTTCCCGGCTGAGACTCCTGGAGCTGTTTGCCACAGGCTGGGGGTGGGACCCATGCAGCCCAAGGGCCAGTCCTGGGACTATGGTATAGGGGTGAGTCCGCGATCCTGAAGTATACCCACTCTAATTCACATATAAATAATAAGAAGAAAGAAAAGCTTTTGACCTTAATATTAACTTTTATTGTCAGCACTCCAGGGTATTGAAAAAAAGCTATTTACTTTTAAAGAAAGATGTATTTTTGTTATTGTCAACAAATCCGATGAAAAGACCAAAACAACAATGTAAATGTCTTTCAATACTTTAAAAACAGCTCGTACATACGTAGTTTGATTAGAAAGAAAGCTCGGTAACTTCCTAAAACAGCTGGGCACTGTAGTTTTTAACAGCAACCGGAGTAAATACGGCATTTGTTTAGGACTGTTTTCAGCGCGGGACTACTATACATCTGATACAGACATGAAATAGTGCAAATAAAAGGTTTCTGGTTAACCGAAGATGGCAGAGTCTCACAGTGATGACACCACGACACACATTGTACCGTTTCTATTCTATTCTATTTTTTTAACAGGGTTTGAAACACGTTTCCAGTGTGTTATGGCCTCGTTAGTGCCCTCTAGTGCACAAGTTAAGTAATGTGCAAGTAAGTCTTTTATTTTTATTGTGTGTTTTGACTCCCAGGGAGGATGGGAGCACATCAGTGTGAGGGGGAACTCAGCAGAGGCTCCTCGCGCCCCCCATCCTCCTCCTGTCGGAGCCCCACGCAGCCCGCTGCCCCCCACACAGGTGAACGGGAACGCTGTGGGCGTGTAGCGCCATCCCTCCTCCTCCTCCGCCCTGTTTGTGCCTGGATCCACATTTGTCTCCTCAGACCATTCCCACGGGCTCTTATTATCCCTTCATGTAAAGGGAATGCACAATCACACTCCTGATCGATGGATGAATGTTACTTCCTGGCTTGTTTCCCAGGCAGGAAGTAATGCAGGATGCAGTGGTGACCAAACAAGAGAAAGGGAGCACAAAGAGCATTTAATGGATCTTGACGTGTTGTGGGATAAAAATGTAAAAGTGAGTGCACGTGTTTGATCTAACTAGGCTTTGGCTATTGGGTGTTTTGGGATCTAGCAATAGCTTTTATTCGTCTATATACGGTATCCTGTGAAAACCTCAGAGGGTGGGACTCTTCGATAAAGGGCTAAGGCTTGGCTACTACACTAACTCGTCTTCAAACACACAATCCCACAGTAGCCGAAATTGTCTCGGTTACTAAAATCTTGTTTTGTTGTTTGTTTTTGCCTGTTATACTTTTGCATGTGCTTTCAATTATTTATTTATTTATTTATTATGCTTTTGTTGAATTTTGTTTCTCCATATGTTTTGGCCTATTATATGTTTGCAATGGAGTGTTTTTAATATTGAAGGCTTTTTAAAAACAAATCTTCATACTTCACAATGCGTTCTTAACTCGCAGAGTAACCTGGGAAATTCCATCTACATTGAAAGATGTCGCCGCTCTCTATCCTCCTGCAATAAAGCTCTTCCTGTTAGTATCATATCCATCTACATAACTGCGACTGTTGTAATTTCACAGCAGCTCTGAAACGTTACCTTCCAAGGGCATTGAAATGTGAAATAAAAGTCTAAAAATATTGGTTCGTGTTTGGACGTCATTTCAGTCGGTCTGGAAAACAAGTGGAATGCAGTTTGTGGACAAAGAGCAGACAGTAATTCACCCGAGTTGGAAGTTTTTATTTCAATAAATGGACTGCAAGGCTGAAAGTTTCACTATGAAACTAGTAATATCATGCAACTAAGGCCAGAATTCAACCAGGGACGTAATAGTTATACTGTAGGGGTCTTAATCACTTAGCTACTGAACGCCATACACAACAGCCCATTACTGACCTCTGGGACACATCCGACTTCCCTTCTTCTGAAGAAGGCTGTGGTAGAAAGCTTCGAGCCAATAAGTTGAATTTGGAGTACTTAACACAATATTTACAGTATTTGAAGACATGTACAGGTACTAATTAAACAGCTGATTTTGATGACTTATCGCTTAATTAAGGTTTGTGTCGGTGTAAATCAAACGGCTTAACTCGTATGACCTTCTGGCTCTGTGAACGGGGGTGTTTGAGCATGAAACAAGAACTTTTGCTGCCGTTTAGTTATCCCGTCTATCCTGGGAGCTGGAGCCTACCTACCTCCAACACTAGCTCTGGCTTCTTCCCACCAGTGGGATTACCTTCCGCATCCAAAGAGCCAGTTTTTGTAGCCAGGAGCCGTTATTTTCCTTGTCCTGCTGGCCACCAGACAGATCAACACAAACTAACTCTGTGCAGCAACTACACAGAGAAATGTCAAAAAAGCAGCACATATTAGAAGTTATTTGCATTTATTTTCATAATAAACAATGTAATTATAAACATTTCATTCAATTACACTAAGCATGATAAATATGAAGTAAAAATTTATTTTTATTTTTTTAATTTTTTTTAAATCTACAAGTTTAAAGGACAGAATGAATTCACATCTGCTTTCGTGTCTTAATTTAACTGCTTTTAGCCGATGCCGTGTGATATGTTCCTCTGATCAACTCTTTAAGTTACAAAATGAAACCTCATACCAATAACTCATGTTACATCATTTCCCATTTACAGACAAAAAAAATAATAATGTACATTTACATACATCATCAGTACAGTTCAACATTAAGTTACATTTCTCAAATGTGCAAGATTAAGCAAATGTGTACTGTAGTCAAATAAAAACAAGATTTCCTTAAATAAATGTTCAAGTTTAACTGAAGCACAGGCTGCTGGTTTTGACAGAGGTTCACATCTACGATACCTTCTGCACGGGGACATCATCTAACACGGGGGAAGTGCAGCTGTTCAGCAGGTCGGCTGTGACAAAATCTTGAAGGTGTTTGAAGAACCCGACAGTAACTGTATAACCTACAGTTTCAAAGTGTTTATAGCTGTACATGGAAACCCTGGAGGGAAAGCATATCTTGATCCACAACTGTTTGCATTATGCTTCTTTACAGAAACTGATCAGGACACACACGCGCACAGCCACAGAGAGGACGTATGGCCTGCAAATGATAAGATGAGATGCTCACAAAATGCAACTGGACGAGGGGTCCGTATTGAGGGAAGTGACGTGTGAACAGGTTAATTAAGTTTGACACAAAGAAAGAAAGAAAAAAAAAAAAAAAGGCAGACCACTCTGTTCATGACACTGATGAAAGCAGCAGCATGTGTTTTTGTTCTAGTGTTTTTGTGAAGTCCCTGCACTTTACTGAAGAAATGCCGCCACGTTCGCCAGAACTCAAAATTTCAACTGATTAACGAAATTCATTGCACATCTGTTTACAAACAGCTCACCAACCTTTCTTCATTCTTGACATTTAAAAATAAAAATCTCCTACTTATTTTTTTTTTTACACAATCTCACTAAACGTGTGATTTTGAACATTGTAGTGACAGGAAGCCGTCTTTTACAGCATCACAGGCACTCTGACAGAGACCCAGTGACTTAGTAGTCAAAAAAACCCATCCCTAGCAACTTCCGGCACATTTCAGAGCATAAAATGAAGCTTTACAAAATTAATAACTTGTCTTTAGTTTTTCCTCACAACTGTATTTCACGTCTCTGAAAGGATTAATATGTCAATCCTCGTCTAATACCAAACATTCTCACTGGGGTGTCTCAAAAATATGAAACTACTTACTGTAAATGTTCCTTTCAAACATAAAGAAAGGAACACTCAGTGTGTCACCTCTGCAGATGAGTTATTTTTTTTTAGTTCAGGTAAATTTAAACCCTTCTTATTCAAATGCTGTACAGAAGGATACCACACACAGCTTCTCTCCAATTAGGAGATTGTGACATAAAAACACCCGACGAGAGGTTACGAAAAAAAACAAATTCATTCTTCCAAAAAAGAGGCAACCACTGAAATAATCGCACAACATGAAAGAGCAAAATTAACAAAGTTAGAGGAAAAAGCTTGGATCTTCAGTTCCAGGTCTGCTGAAATCAAAGAGCTTATTCGTATTCGGCTGTAGTGACGAGTTTTGCCAGCCCAGTGTGATGAATTCAGAGCATAAAAAAAGTATTTCTTTTTTTGGTGAAAGTCCTGGAAAATGAGTGCACTTGGACACGCAACGAAAAGAAGCAGCCAAACACCTGGAATGCGCATGATAAGTCTTTAAAGCAAACATTTAGAAACTCGTTTTTTTCTCCTCCAAGTGGAATTGCACTGAATTTAAATCACACGTTGATGTAGCTGGAGAGGTGATGAGGCTCGAGACGGGCGCTGGACCGCGTCCTGTCTTATCTGCTGAAAGTCGTGGTTCTCGTGGGCGTCTGTGTAGGAAAAGAGCAGTTCTGCCTGAGAGAAGCGTTCCGCGGGTTTGTGGGGCAAACCGCGTGATTTGTCCTTGTTCAGCCGTTCTCCATTCTTAAAAAGTGCGAGTTTAGCTTCATTTTTCCAATAGTGTGATGATAATGTATCACACTAGTCCTTTTCTCCATCTTCACTGCTTCCTGGGGTGAACAAAAGAGGATGAAGAGAGTTTAAACACGAGCTCAACTGTTTCATAAATATTACTCTAACATGACTATTTCATGTAATTGTACAGACCAATGAGCTCGGTACATGAAAGATATGCTCACAGTAGTAAGAGAAGAGAACTAGAATAGTGTTATATATACACAGTGGGTATGGAAAGTATTCAGACCCCTTTAAATTTTTCACTCTTTGTTTCATTGCAGCCATTTGCTAAAATCAAAAAAGTTAATTTTATTTCTCATTAATGTACACTCAGCACCCTATCTTGACAGAAAAAAACAGAAATGTAGAAACTTTTGCAAATTTATTAAAAAAGAAAAACTGAAATATCACATGGTCATAAGTATTCAGACCCTTTGCTGTGACACTCATATTTAACTCACATGCTGTCCATTTCTTCTGATCCTCCTTGAGATGGTTCTACTCCTTCATTGGAGTCCAGCTGTGTTTAATTAAACTGCTTGGACTTGATTAGGAAAGGCACACACCTGTCTATATAAGACCTTACAGCTCACAGTGCATGTCAGAGCAAATGAGAATCATGAGGTCGAAGGAACTGCCCAAGGAGCTCAGAGACAGAATTGTGGCAAGGCACAGATCTGGCCAAGGTTACAAAAGAATTTCTGCAGCACTCAAGGTTCCTACGAGCACAGTGGCCTCCATAATCCTTAAATGGAAGAAGTTTGGGACGACCAGAACTCTTCCTAGGCCTGGCCGTCCAGCCAAACTGAGCAATCGTGGAAGAAGAGCCTTGGTGAGAGAGGTAAAGAAGAACCCAAAGATCACTGTGGCTGAGCTCCAGAGATGCAGTAGGGAGATGGGAGAAAGTTCCACAAAGTCAACTATCACTGCAGCCCTCCACCAGTCGGGGCTTTATGGCAGAGTGGCCCGACGGAAGCCTCTCCTCAGTGCAAGACATATGAAAGCCCGCATAGCCCGCACAGACTATGAGAAATAAGATGCTCTGGTCTGATGAGACCAAGATTGAACTTTTTGGCGTTAATTCTAAGCGGTATGTGTGGAGAAAACCAGGCACTGCTCATCACCTGCCCAATACAATCCCAACAGTGAAACATGGTGGTGGTGGCAGCATCATGCTATGGGGGTGTTTTTCAGCTGCAGGGACAGGACGACTGGTTACAATTGAAGGAAAGATGAATGTGGCCAAGTACAGAGATATCCTGGAAGAAAACCTCTTCCAGAGTGCTCTGGACCTCAGACTGAGCCGACGGTTCACCTTCCAACAAGACAATGACCCTAAGCACACAGCTAAAATAACAAAGGAGTGGCTTCGGAACAACTCTGTGACCATTCTTGACTGGCCCAGCCAGAGCCCCGACCTAAACCCAATTGAGCATCTCTGGAGAGACCTGAAAATGGCTGTCCACCAACATTCACCATCCAACCTGACGGAACTGGAGAGGATCTGCAAGGAAGAATGGCAGAGGATCCCCAAATCCAGGTGTGAAAAACTTGTTGCATCATTCCCAAGAAGACTCATGGCTGTACTAGCTCAAAAGGGTGCTTCTACTCAATACAGAGCAAAGGGTCTGAATACTTATGACCATGTGATATTTCAGTTTTTCTTTATTAATAAATTTGCAAAAATTTCTACATTTCTGTTTTTTTCTGTCAAGATGGGGTGCTGAGTGTACATTAATGAGAAATAAAATGAACTTTTTTGATTTTAGCAAATGGCTGCAATGAAACAGAGTGAAAAATTTAAAGGGGTCTGAATACTTTCCATACCCACTGTATGAATATTAAATTAAATAATATCTTAGTACATTTGCACCAATAACATGAGATCAACTACTTTTAAAGGAATAGTTTGACATTTTGGGAAATACACTTATTTGCATTTTAGCGTAGCATTGAGACCGGAACAAGCTCAACCAGCACGTCTACCAGTTAACTAATAAACACAAAGAAGAGTAAAAATAACATGTTGTAGATTTACAGCGAGTTATGGGACAAGGAGAAGTATTATCCCAGTGTGTTGTTGGAGACTTCAGCTTATGCTAAGCTAACCTTCTGCTAGTCATATCTTTTAACATACAGAGATGTGAGTGGTGTCGATCTTCTTATCTAACTCCTGGCATGAAAGTAACTATTCCTTGCAGCCCGTGTAAAGACCCACACAGGTTTGGTGTGACTGCATGCTTAACTTGCCTCCTTGTTCGATGTCTGAGTCGGTGAGATGCGTGAGGGAAAAGCTAGCGATGCTGGCCGGGGAGATGGAGAAACGGGAGTAGTTTGAGGAGCCGGACCAGCTGGGCTCCAGCACGCGCCCCCCTGCTGCAGGCGGCGAAGACGAAAAGCGAGATGCTGCCGATGAGGACATCGTCTTTGATACGGCGTCTTTATCCGTCTTGGGCAGGAAGCCGGGCGAGAAATCATCATCCCACTCAAAACCACCACCTGCAGGGATATCACGAACGAGTCAGGGCATGTCATGGCAAAGACAATCTGCAGGCGCTGCACACATTTAGAGTTTTTGTCATTACCTTCTTCATCAGTGGAGCTTTCGGAGTTGGTGAAGCGGTTCAGGTAGCTGGCAGTGGACACCGGGCTGCTGAACTCTGGAGCCTGATTGCGTGAGCCTGAGGAGTGGTCACCCAGTTCCTTGGTGGGGGTCTCCTACATCAGAAGGAGTTGGATGTTAATTAGAATTAGTCTTATTTGTTACACCTATAACAGCTCTGGGCAATGAACAACAACATTGACGATACAGTACCTGGTCAAACAGGTAGACGGTGACATCGTCGAAGAACGACACGGCTCTTCTGGAGTGATCTGCATCGCAACTCTCAGGAAACGGGGACGACGAGGCCTGGACGTTGAGCGATGTGGGTTTCAACAAGCTCTTCAGGTTCTTTGCACGACTGTCGTCCGAGACGATGAGTGGCACCGGATGCACCGTGTCATCCTCGCTCTCTGAACTGGAGCTGTGCAGCTGGTACCCGCGGACGTCGTCGTCCGAGTCGTCGCTGTTCTCGTCCTCCTCGTCCGCATCCATGCCGTCCTCCTGTCCGTCCCGCCTCCCCAGGAAACGCCCTTCCATGTCCGGCTCTCTTATTTTTATGTCAGTCGCGTAGGTCCTGGTTAGCTTAGCATGACCCGAGCTCTCCGGCACTGGCTTTGAAGGGGCAACAAAAGGAAGTTGTGGAAGGAGTTGAGTTGAGGTTTCTAGATCTTCTGGTTGATCAGGAGATGTGACATCCACATCCACATCTTCATCTTCACTGTTGGGAGACTCTGCCGCCTCCGTCTCGCATTTCACTGCAATATCTGAATCTGCCTCCGGTAATGTTCCCCCAACATGAGGCGCTTCCTTGTCGGTCTGTGCCTCGGCAGCTACAGAAGATTCTTGCTGAGAAAATAAAGAATGGACATCCCTCTCCACGTTGACCTCCAGTGCTGGACCTCCAGCAGCCGCGCTGATCGCCTCAGTAGAGTTCCTCAGCCACGTGACTTCACCAGAACCTGCAGCAACCGTTTCTTCAGACTTCTTCTCGGGTTCTGATTCGTTGTCTGAGAAATAGGCGGAGTCTCTGTAGTTACTGCCCATGAACGGCTCCTCGGCAGAAGCTACGTGATCTGGTTGCTGGTCCTCGCCGGGATCCTCACTGCGAGTATCCAGCACACCCTCTACTTCAGAGATGATGATTTCTGGTGGAACCAGATTAGTGGCAGCTGTGAGCTCCTCCATCTCCTCCTCTTCTTCTTCTTCTTTGGCAACACTCAAGCCGTTTTTGACAGGGGAGTGGTCTTTAACATTCGGCTGAGAGTTCCACTCGGGAGACTCCAGGTTCTCCGTCTCATACCCGCTGTCGGATATTTTGTACGGAGGCTGGAGTTTGTGTTGGGCTAATTGAGCATTCAGCTCGTCTCCTTGTTCACCTAGCCTGTGGATGTCAAGAGAGTCTAAAGAGTCCGGTGTCTCGGCTGAATTGTCTATAGTTGGTAGAGTGGTGGACATGCTGTCTTCCAGTAAACTGTCCTGGCTGATCTGGTCCAAAGACGGCCCGGAGACCAACAGAGAAGATCTGACGATAGGGCGCCCATCAGAGTCCATAAAGGACTCTTCGTGGTCAGATAGAGTGGATTCCAGTTCTGCATCTGCATCCTCGATTAGCTCACTCAACAGATCGTTACTTGTGAGGTCTTCGCTGTGTCCGTTGTCTGAGGGCAATGCTTGGACTTGCAGGTTTTCAGGCATTGTACTTCCTATGGGCTGAACATTATTCTTTGAGGTTCCAAGGTCTTCTTCAAGGCTGGGAATTTTGGCATCTGTGCACAACGAGTCTATAGTGGCACTTTCAGAGATTGCAGGGGTGTGGCCATCCGTTTGACCGACGATGACCTCAAACCTCTCCGAGGTAGAATCAAAACCAGAGTCTGCACCTCTGTGAGAGGATTGCAGCAGACCGAGGTCTTCTGTGGAAGAACTATTTCTAGCTGGCAGCTGGTTGCTTGTGTTATCGTCTGTGACCACTGTAATGAAAGGCACCAGTGTTTTATTTTCTATCAGAGACGGAGATAACTCCCCCAAGCTGTAACTCGGAGAGTCTAAAAGTTCCTGTCTCGAGGATGTGCTACATGTTGCAGGTTTTAAATAATTGTCCGCTGAGAATAAGCTGCCTAAATTCTCCATGTTGTCCCAAGAACTCATTTTGAACCGTTCCTCTGGTTCGTGGGCTCGACCGGGGAGAAGAAAATTATCCTGTAGACTCGAGAAACTTGGTCCGTCTTTCATCAGGCTGTGTTCTTTGAGAAACATAAAGTTGTCGGCTAGTTTTTCAGCGTTCAGAAGCCTCTTCTCATCTGTGTTCTGCCCCTCCGCTTCCACAGAATCCGCCAGAGGAGGGGCTTCTGAACAATCCCCTAAAAAAGAATCCCCATTGCTTATATCTAAATCCACCTCCTGGACGGCTGAAGGTGCACCTTCAAGGAAAGGGTTCCCGTTGCGCTCTGGTAGCTCCATAAAACTCCGTCTCCAGGAAGGAGAGTCCTCTTGCTTGGACCCCCCGTCAGTGAAAATGGTGGTGTGGTACGGACTGTCATTTTCAAGAGACGACCAGACATGGCTGTCTGGTAAATAGGAATCCTTGGAGTCAATACTTTGGTGGAAAAAATCAGCATCCGTACTAGACTCATCCAGACGGACATCTTGGAGAACAACAAAGTCTTGCCGGCCTGAACTGAAGTCCATGTCTTGTCCTCTATTCCCATCTTCCCCAACAGTGCTCTCCCCTTGTTCTTCTAGTTGTATGAAATATTCATTTTCATTCGACGGCTTTTGTGCATCAAACACTGGTACAATTCCAGGAATTCCTGAAGGAGTGTGACCACTTCTTGTGCCTGCTGCTCTGGCAACCGGATCAGGGAAATGGGCCTGGATGTCTTCACTGGAAACAGGAAAGAACATGCTGTGATAGTTCAATGTGGTGTCCATGCCCGAACGCCCATGGTTGCCATCATAGTGGTCGTGCTTGGCTGCCTCCCAAACGTACTCAAAGCTGAGACCTTTGCTCGTTTCTGTAACCGTAAGAACTTCGTCGATCTCTTGCCGCAGGGCATCGTCGGCGAACTGTTCCAAGATCGGGTAAGACGAGTGGCTGACAGTGGTCTGCCGCGCGGAAGGGTTCGGCTTGAGAGCATCCCAGCGTTGGTCAAAGTCTTCTTCTATGTCCTTCTGGCCTTGCATGCGCAGGTAGATAAGCAAACGGTGGACTTCCTCTGCTGTGGCCCGCTTGTCTGGAGACAGCCAGCAGAACTGCAGGACCTCATGCCTGCAGTAACAAGGAGATCAGACAAGATACATTTTAAAAGGCCAAATAACGTTGAATCCTGCTTTAAGGTAAACCACGGTCACTATATATTTGTATGCAATTTGTGCCAATAGACCTATTCCAAAAACTCACCATCTGTCGGAATAAGGGAGATCCAGCTGTGGCTTAAAGAGTTTGACTTGTTGATCCTTGATCACATGAGTGAGAACCTCCCGGTCAGACAGATGTGGGTACGGCTGGGTAGCGTTCTCAAAGAGCTCCCACAATGTGACTCCCAAGGCCCTATGGGACAAGTGAGGACAAAATGACTGTTGGAACTTACAAAAGTTATCTTGTGCACCTCGAATTCAGCAAAATACCTCAAACCACAAAACTCCATGAGGTGAGCTGTTATGAACACCCTAACTCACAGCACAGCACTTTAAATATAAATAAATGAAATGATTCATAAGCAGCTATGATAGTAAGAGCTAAATTTAAACAAAGGCGACTTGAGAAACATTTTGAATCTCAACAATTCTTTATTGGGGGGGGGGGGGGGGGGGAAATCTGGATCTTGTGGCTAAAACTACCTCACGTAGCTCTGCATGTTTTGACTGAAAAGCATTTGGGCAATGAGTCATGAAGTGCGGGAGTGGCTGAAAAGTGTGTGCAGTGTGGAGAGATGCTTAGTCGGTGTCGTGTCTTCTGGAAATGATCCAGATTGTTACAAGCCCTTGTATTTGCAGGAAGGGCTCGTCTTTCACAGCAATCAGCCAGAGGTGTACTGCAGAGCAGTTTAATGTCTTATTCCAAATATACTAAATGTCATGTATACTTAAGAGTTATCAAAAAACAAGGCCTCGAGTGTCAGTGAAGAGCTGCGGTGTGGTGCCTACCACACATTGCTGGGCTTGGTCTGCTCCATAGTAATCACACCTCCATGGCGCTCGCCCACCAGCTCAGGAGCCAACCAGCGAAGAGGTGCAAACACATCATCCTCTGTGATGACGTAATCCTCCTATACATAGTATAACATTGTAAAACAAAAATCAAATCAGTCACACACGTTTTGCTTCTTTTACAAAGTGGACCGATCTAGATTACACTGTAAATAATTGTGCAAACACTAGAGCTCATTAAGTAGCACTCTGAAACAGGAGCCATTTGACTGTTTATTCACTCTCCCTCTGCCTCTCTTCTTTCTTTACAGAAATAGACTCGCAGGGTGACCTTATCTTCAAGTATTAAATTCAGACAGCCAAACTGACGGATCAGCAGTATTTAAGGAATGCAGCAGACAGAAATGCCTCGGGACATAACGACATGTCCGGTTACAAGACAAGACAACCATCTTCAGTGAGACATGAGACTGATCAAAGACCTGCAATAAAAAATAAGATTTATTTTCTGTGAGGTCATCTGGAGCTGGCTGCACAACAAATAAACAGACTTCACACATCGGCAACTTGAGTTCATCAGCTGCACAAAGTGGAGAAGTTTCTGATCCACTGTAAGAAGGACTATGTTGTTGATTCGGGTAAATTACAGCTTTTTTGGGGCAAAAAACAAATGGCTTTAAACTACTGAACTCTCATTAACATGTGCCACGTGGAAGAATTTAATTAAGGACATTTAGCCGGCCACATTTTCTGATGAACACGGCTATTACAACAGCACCTATGCTAACTTTTTAAGATCAAAATTCATCCAAGTATAGAGATATTCCAATTAATTGGACTCTTATGTGTATTGGACCACTTTTATTATCAGGGGATTGATAAGTGTTCTCACAATTCACCCATCAGGAAAAAGAAGATGATAAATAAGGTAAAACAAACAGAAATGTTTTCACTGCTGGATCCATCATGGATGCCCAGTCTCCCCCCCACACATTAAGTAAGCCAGCGTGAGCTTCTCTCTAACTACACAAACACTCCAGATGCTTCTACTGTGTATCATCGGGCTGCTGGTGCTTGGCAGGAGGCATTGTGGGATGTGTTGATCTGCTGCAAGCAAAGACACCTAACACAAGTTTACATTTGGTATTTGGATCATTCCTCTCCATGTGTCAGAGTATCTATAAAGCCTCCAATGTGTGCAAATGTGTCTGAAATCTGATTTTCAGGAGCTCCTCCTTGATGTTTTCACTCAGTTTTTGTGACCACAAAAGAAAAACAGACAAGCTTTCTGCCAGCAATTTGAGTTTTAAAGGTTAAGTTATTGAAAAGCTCTGTCAGACTGGCTAACTCCGCCCACATCCTCCTACTACTCCCAACCCCTGCCTACCGAAGATCCGGAGTAACCGCCACTGGACGATATGAACAGACAATTGCCCAACCCTATCGGATCATGTAAAGCATCTTGTGTCACCAGCCCTCGCTGTTGTAAAATATGCATTTCCATACAGCAATTAACAAAATCTTTATCCTGAAAATACCTGAAATTGAGGTTTTTGCTTACTTTGTATCTGTAGGGTCCAATGCCATAGTCTCCCACTTTGACCGTCAGATCTCCCGTCAGGTAGCAGTTCCTCAGAGCCAAATCGCTGCGAGAGCAGAGAGAACGACAACATCAGATTCTTACAGAAATCCACAATCACAGATTATGAAGCGCGCAGGCAGCAGTGTGAAAAGAACACAAAATCGAGCGTATCAACGAGGAACCCACCGTCTCCTCTTAACCTTAAAAGGCTAAGATTACCGCACAAGTATCAGGGCAAAAGAGTCTGGCAAGGATCACAGGAGACTTTGGCAACTACATGAAATTCTTCTCCTGTCATTGCCTCTGCTCTTCACCTTGCAACAAGGCTCATACAGGAGGCTATTCCTGACTCATGCATACAGCAGCAAGATACAGTTTCTAGAGGGAAACACAGAAACGTTTTGTGAAGCTGCCAGGAGAGAGAGAGTGTGTCAGTCAGTCAGTCAGTCAGTCAGTCACACACACACACACACACACACACACACACACACACACACACGGCAGTTCATTCGCACTTTCAGAGGCAGGCTTTGGTTTCCTCTTCAGTCCCGCCGGCATTCCCTGTGCACAAGTTCCGAGTCCCTTTGACTCGCTTAACGGCAAACACTGCTGACACCAGTGTTCTTGCGTGTGAGTGTGTGGCCCAGCAACTGTCAGACCAACTAAAACCTCTGTAAGATAAATGGAGATTTATTTTAAACTCTCCGGTCCTCCTCTATTGGTTTCGGGCCCGACATACACTAAGGAAACGGGTCCAACTTCTTCGCCCTTCAAGGCCGATACGCGAGCCTTGAAAAGAAAAGCAAACATTGGCAGTACTTTGTACTGAAAATATATGTTGAGCAATTACTAAACCGTGCCTTAAAAAGGAAAACCTTCCACACTTTCTGAATGAGAATACATCAAGACATTTTGCTCTTTTGTAGCACCATTCTCACCCATGCATGATGCTGAAGTTTCAGCTCTGGATATCGGCCCACACAGCACTGACGGTTCTGTGTCTATGGAGCAGCACCATCAATCACCTCTCACTCAGTTCTGCCAGTGTGCAGCTGCACTAATAATTCAGCTAGTGTAACCTTTTAATTTATAAAATTTGTGTTGCTAAACTTTGTTGCAGATTACATTTGTCCACATGGGGGGGAGCTAGTAGAACTCCCCGTTGAGTTGTAACAAGGATTAAAACACAACGCCCAATACGAGGCTATCCTTTTACATGCAAAGAGCAGAATCATCATATCCCTCTGGCTGCGGACAGCTGACACTGTGGCAATGCATGGGAGCTGTGTTATTGGAACCCTCCGGGCTTATTCGGAGCATACAAAATAGAGCTGATGAGCGGAGCGTCGTATGTAACCCCGAGCCACACGGACCCCCCCTCTGTGCCCAGCTGGCTACGCACAGCCAGCCAGCACTCGCTGGGGGTGAAAACGTCGTAACAATCTTATTTTATGAGGTTTGTGTCTCGTGACATTAAGTATCCAGTTGAGTTCCTATATATTGATAGTGTACCATGAATATTGTATTAGTGTTGATCTTGATTCAAACATTATGCAACATGTGTTGACAAGTAATGTTAAAATGCTGAAATTTCAGCACACATTTTGCACAAATTTAAATACTTGTAAAGCTAAATGACAGATTATATCTCACAAAACAAAAGCAGTCCAAATGATAAAGACAAAGGTCAGAAAATATTAAACATTATCACATATGCTTTCTTATTAAAAATACATACAAGTAAGAGGGTAAAGAACTACAAACACTGTGCTCAGCTTAGTAAGTCTTGAACCTGGGAGCTGGTATAAGTGTTACCTGTGCAGGAAGTTGTGTTTGTGAAGGTGAGTGACACCAGCGGCGATCTCACAGGCCATCCTCTGCAGCTGCAGCAACTCAGCATTTCTGAACATCCAGTCCTGCTGAGACAGGTAGCCCCGCAAATCCCCCTGCAAGCAAGCACACACACACACACACACACACACACACACACACACACACACACACACACACACACACAGCTGTATTAGCTTACCAAAATCTAACAAACATTCAGTAAATCCAGAGGAATCGTATTTGTATTATTGCAACAGGAGGAATTGGACAAGCAGGTGTTGGTTAAATGCATTGCTCAGGGACTGCCACACGGGGGCAGTAGACTCTCCCGTTTCTGTCTCCTCAGCACTTCTCACTGCGGATGTGGGAGAGGACCAAATAAGGGTAGCGCTATTTAATGGACCTCTATCCTGGGGTCACAGAGACTTATAAATAAAAAGAGTTCAGCTCGGGTCAGAGAAATAAACGGTGCTTGTGTCCGTTTGGGTGTCGGAGCCCCCCGTGAGTGGAGGAGAGCAAACAACGCTCACCGGTGTGTGAGTGATCATAGTGCCGTCAGAATATAATAAAGGGGATCAGGAACGAGGAGTTCCCCTCGGTCCGATGTAAGGGTTGAGAAGCTACAGTACTCCACTATAATGTGTATAAAGACAAAGAGCAGACCGAATACACTTTCCCCCGAGGAACCAGCTACTGAGAACAAGCTGCACACACACACACACACACACACACACACACACACACACACACA